CTCTCTCTCTCTCTCTCTCTCTCTCTCTCTCTCTCTCTCTCTCTCTCTCTCTCTCTCTCTCTCTCTCTCTCTCTCTTCTTCAATATAAGACCAAGCTCATCACTTCCCATTCTTACTACCACTCTCTCTCTCCGTTCTTCAATATAAGACCAAGCTCATCACTTCCCATTCTTACTACCACAAGCTCTTTTTTGCACTACAAACTCTTCTATCTTCTCTTCTTTCCTGATACAAGCATAAGTTCCTCTACTTGCCCAAAGAAGAACATTAAGTTCTTCTAAACTTTGTATTCAGTCATGATTAATTCAAAGAGGCTCTTTCTTGCACTACAAACTCTTCTATCTTCTCTTCTTTCCTGATACAAGCATAAGTTCCTCTACTTGCCCAAAGAAGAACATTAAGTTCTTCTAAACTTTGTATTCAGTCATGATTAATTCAAAGAGGCTCTTGGAGATGGCACGCAAATGGCAGAAGAAAGCCATCAGTCAAAGGAGAAGAATATCCCTCAAAAGAAATACTAGTGACCAAATGGATTCAGTTGCTGCTGAGGGTCATTTTGTGATTTATACAGTAGATGGAAGCCGATTCATGATTCCCTTAGCGTTTCTTAATCGCCCCATCTTTCGAGAGTTGCTCTTGATGGCTGAAGAAGAGTTTGGACTCACAGGGGGCCATCCTCTTACTTTGCCTTGCGAGTCATTTGTGATGGAGTACATAGTCCACCTGCTGAACAAGAATGCATCAATGGAGGTGGAAAAGGCATTGGTCTCCATGGCATGTTGCAGAGCCTCTCATCCTTCTCTAGTCCTTCAACCATTCTCTGAGCCAATGATTCTCCATAGCTTTTGAGACGTCGCTGTTAAATCAAATACAGCCCCAAAGATTCAATATGAAGGGGCAACTAAACCATCTCTTGTCTTTGTACATAAAACTCGCAATTTTGTTCCTAAACAATTTCTTTATGCACTACATCAAATTTTGGTTCTGGATGAGTGGTTGTATAAATCTTTTCATATTCGCGATAAAAGCTTTGCAATTTGTTTAAAATATGAATCTTCTCATAAGGCGAATATGATCTAATGTCTTAACAATGCTAAATCTTGGGTTATTCCATCTTCCTCGTTCCTCTTTTAAGTTAGGCCAGTTAAAGGGCCTCGGCGTGGTTTTTTGTAGGGTTTCTGGTTGGGTTCAGGTTGCTTGTTAAGGCCAGTGCACGCGGCCCAATGAGCCCGAAATGTTTTTCGGATCCCGGCTAGTGCTAACTTGGCCCGGATTGTTTTTAGCATGTATGAGGAATATTAAATTTTCTTTTACCATATTTTTATGCAGACTGGCACAGACCTTGGTCCTGTCTCGGGTGTCGTTATGATGGATTCGAGTCTGACTTGGTGAGGCCCAAATTTCCACTTTGTGCGCGGACCAGGCTCCGGCTCCGGCTTAGGCCGGTCAGCCCATTAACAACCTTATTGTAGCTACCACCATATGTCTACGAGGCTTTGGGAAGAGGTAATTTTTGTACCAGATGTGAGGACATTTCGTTGTAGATCAGTCTTCCTCAAGGAACCTTTACCTCTGCCTGAGAACTTGCCTCTCTTAAGAAATGCAGGTGTGACTCATTCTTGATTATCTTTAAATAGAACGATATAACAAATTATTAATGAATTACTAATAATTATTTAAAAATTATCATTCGAATTATTATTATATTAGCATAAATATTAATGGGAAAGGTCGTTTTTTATTTTATTAAATTAATAAGTTTTATGATTTAAACTTTATGAATAATAATTCATATATTATGATATAATGATCAATATATCTAAAGTTAGTTTGTATTAGTATTTAAAAATAAACTCTAATTCAAGAAATAATTTTATATTTATCAGAGAGATTAATGTGATGTCAAAAGTTAATATTTTAAAATTTTATGAGTATAAATTTCTATAATGTAATATTTTACAATGTAGTTTATGAAGATTACCTAGTATTTTTTTAACATAGAACAAGTATAAATAACTATTTTTTTTTAGGGGAATGTATAACATCAGAGGATTTACCTTATTTCAGAAGTAAGACATTTCCTGTTTTTTATTAGTGTGCTCCAGTGACAGTAGATGTAAGCCTACTATAGATAACATTTAGAGACAAAAAATGTGCGGTTGCAAAGAGTGGAAAGGCACAAGACGTGGGTCTTTGATTAGTTGGCATAGGATGTTCAGATGTTTTGCAATTTGGCCTTTTT